TATATTCCAGACCCCTGTGGACACAGCCATGAGCCATGAGCTCTAGGGTGGCTCTGCTGGAGTGGGGAGGTCAATGACATGACCCACTGTGGTCCCTTCCAACCTAACTGACTGTGAAAATTAAGTCCAGGCTTTAGGTACAAATCATGTCTGATAATCCAACCACAAAGCAAATTCCCCAGTTACCTTACTATCCGTTTGATCTCCAAGCTGAACTTTCAATATATGAGGAGGTTTTGCTCTTCCCGTAACAGCTGCTAAATATTCAATTAAACAAGTCTTGCCACATTGGTCCCTTCCAACCTAACTGACTGTGAAAATTAAGTCCAGGCTTTAGGTACAAATCATGTCTGATAATCCAACCACAAAGCAAATTCCCCAGTTACCTTACTATCCGTTTGATCTCCAAGCTGAACTTTCAATATATGAGGAGGTTTTGCTCTTCCCGTAACAGCTGCTAAATATTCAATTAAACAAGTCTTGCCACATCCTATTGGTCCCTCTAGTAACACAGGAGTCTGATGTGCTACAGCAATAGCAAGGTTCTGAAGATTTGTGAAGGCAGATTCAACCAGGACAAAACAGCTGGTGTCATTTCCCTGTTCAAACATAAAATCTGCTTGTATGAACTGCCAGATGAAGACAAAATGAACATTCATTGCTTCATTCCACTGCAGAGCTTCTTTGCAGTGTCTCCATCACACAGCACACACTGAGAAGGCTAAAGATACACACATTACTCATAGGATCTCAGTAGTATTTAAGCAGGAAATAAAGTCACCTTACCCAGAGATTCATAAAGACAAAAGAAAGGACAGATTTAACCATGAGTTACTGTTGGGGTCCTTGCGAGGGACAGACTACAGCACAGCAATATGATGCTCTGATAGTCAACTTTATTTTGGACACCTAACAGTATTTATAGTAAAAAGTCTCCTGTACATGCAGCTACACACTGATCACACAACCTTGGATGGGTTGCTCCACTTGTCAATGTGTAAAATTCTTACTTATGACAGGTTACAAGTTTAAGCTGCATCCTGCTCTCACATCCTGGGAAACTGATAACAAGAGCTACACAGTGTCCATGAGAACCTAAACAACAGCACTATTCTCAGCTCGTTAGCAAGACGACTTATCTTATCTATAAGGCAGTAAAACCAAAACCAAAGCTAAAAACCCTGGCAGCAGGAGAGAGCAAGACCATTATAAAGTGTTGTATTGAAGACACAGGAATGCATGAAGATAGCAACAAGGTCAGCAAGACCTATTTTATGTGTCTTGTTTTTAATTGCTTAAGCATTCCTCTAACTATAGCTCAGGTTACAGCTCCTCTGCTTGCCAGGCCCCAACAAGTTACATACCTGTTCTTCAGAACCAAGCTGTAGTCTGGGCAGCACAATGCCACATACAGCTACCACACGTGCAGAGAGGTCACCCGACACAATATGTCCTTGTGTGTATTGCAGTTCTCTCTCCCTCTGCCAAAATGAGGAGTCAGGATTGGCCAGAACAAGGGCTTGTTCCACATTCTGCAGCTGAGCTTCTTCCAGCAGCCTGTGAAAACCACATTCATTAGCTCAACTGAAAGCCAGGAGGAAAGCAAATGGGGTTCAAGATATTAAAAGTCCTTACTTTAGTCTGAAATGGATCAGCTCCTCAGGGTTGAATATCTTCCTCAGGAAAGACAATCTGTGCTCATCGTTCATGCATGTAACCAAAGCAAGGCAGTTTGAAGTATACCTAAAAATCAGAGGGAGAACAAAACATGTCAGAACATAAGTCTTTAAGAAAATCAGACAACTGAAAGTTGCACACCAAAACATCAAGTTTGGGAAAACATGCAGAGGATTTGATTGGTAGAAATTATCTCAGCACTATGCCTAACAATCTTTGCAATAAGAGAAATATCTCAGAACTGAGAGAAGCAGTGAGAAAAACGGTTGTTTATCAGAGGGAGAACAAAACATGTCAGAACATAAGTCTTTAAGAAAATCAGACAACTGAAAGTTGCACACCAAAACATCAAGTTTGGGAAAACATGCAGAGGATTTGATTGGTAGAAATTATCTCAGCACTATGCCTAACAATCTTTGCAATAAGAGAAATATCTCAGAACTGAGAGAAGCAGTGAGAAAAACGGTTGTTTTTTTTACTCTAAGGTAAGGGTGGTGAGACACCGGCCCAGTTTGCCCAGGGAGGCTGTGGCCTATTGCCCAGGGAGGTGGTGCAGTCACCATCCCTGGAGGTGTTTCAGAGGTGTCTGATGTGGCACTGGAGGATCTGGTTTAGGGTTTAGGAGTTCCAGCAGTGACAGGTTAATGGTTGGACTTGATGATCTTAGAGGTCTCCTCCAGCCTTGGTGGTTCTATGACCAGGTAAGAAGCACAAGTACATATACCACTGTTAGAGATTTCTGGTATTATCTGAAGATGTTTCCTACTTGCATATGAACATTGTTAACTACAGTTCAAGCTACAGACACTTCTTTTCAATGCAGAAGATCTGGGAATTTTCACTTACCAACGAACTAAAGTGTCATGACTCCTTAGGAGTGGAATACACACGCTCCAATCCCACAGTTCCCGGAAAACTGATGGCTCCTTCTGTAAAAACTTGTAGGCTGCCTCCATGAGGTCCCTCAACTTCATCCGTCTGCGCCCGTACCGCACTGGGTTTGCATCTGAGCTCTCCAGGAAAAGCCTCTGGAAAACTGGTGATGCAGTCTTGAAGTATCTTAAAGCAAATCTTCAGGAGAGAGAGAGAAAGATATGAAGCACAGACAAAGAGTCACAGAATTTCAGGGTTTGGAATGAACTTAAGAGCTGACCCAGCCCCAAGCCCTGCCCTGGGCAGGGACACCTCCCACCAGAGCAGGTTGCTCAAGGCTCATCCAACCTGGCTGTGAACACTGCCAGGGTTGGGGCAGCCACAGCCTCCCTGGGCACCCTGGGACAGGGTCTCATGAGAAAACTAGGGCACCCTGGGACAGGGTCTCACCAGAAAACTGTCATGGCAGAGCTGCTAAGACAGTAATTGATAAGAAGTAAGACCTAGAATTGACTTTGCTCACACTTGAGGAAGACAACCGCTTCAGCAATCAGCTGACAACAGACTCTTAACCTCATTAGGAATCATTAATTATCAAGGGGTATAGTGCAGCACTGACTTTGGCGAAATCTCTTTCATTGCTCTTGTTTGCTGACAAAGTAATACTGATTCCTACTTAGGTGACTTTCTATTCTGCTGCCCTAGAGGTCTAAAACACAGAGGCTTTGGTTAGGAACAACTTTCATGGTAGCTGGTGTTTGTTTCCCTTTAGGTCCTAGATACAAACCACATTAGATCTTACAACAGGATTTAATAAGCTGCATTGAGACTCCTATTTTCTACATCACTCTTTGCTTTCAAAACACATCTGATAGTGTGGGAGACAAAGCTCTAACACCACCTCTCCCCCAGTGAACACTGACAAGGAGATGCTCCCTGAGCTCAGGCATGGCACAAAGTGACCGCACAGTACTCACGGCAGGACGTCGGGGTGGTTAGCCAGCAGTTTGCTCATGGCTACACAGAGCCTCTCGTGCCGGTCGTGGTTGAGTTGGCCACCAGCTCTAATGGCTTCTGCATTCCTTTCCAACAGCTCCAGCAGGATTGGCCTGAGCTGGCGTGCAATCAATGCAGTACATTCCTTATCCAGCAATAACTGAGCCAGAGTGTCGAGGATGCACTGCCGATCCTGCCGAGTCCAGGCCTGAAGGAACAGAAGGGAAGAACAGGTTAAATGGGAAAACAGTTGGATTTCAGAACCATTCATGCAGGATTCGGAGGGAATGCAATGGGAAGGAGTTGTTCAAAACCAAGAGGTGAGTCCAAGACGCCTAATCCAGGTAGTTAAGACTGACACAGCTCTCCATGTTGCTAAGCCTTGAGAAGAGGTTCAGGGGTGACCTGTGGAGCGAGTCCAGCCAAGGGCAACGAGGGCAGCAAAGGGCAGAGCACATGGGCAAGGGCTGAGGGAGTTGGGTTGGTCAGCCTGGAGAAGAGGCTCAGGGGTGACCTCCTGGCTCTCTGCAACTCCTGCCAGGGCTGGAGAGAGGTGTGGGATGTGTGTCCTGCCAGGGCTGAGGGAGAGGAGAGAGGGAATGGCCTTGAGCTGAGCCAGGGCAGAGTCAGATTGGATGTGAGGAGAAATGTTTTGCCTGTTGTGGTGTTGAGGCCCTGGGATATTGCCCAGGGAGGTGGTGCAGTCACCATCCCTGGAGGTGTTTCAGAGGTGTCTGATGTGGCACTGGAGGATCTGGGTTAGGATTTAAGGGTTGCAGCAGTGACAGGTTCATGCTTGGACTTGATGACCTCAGGTCTCCTCCAACCTCGATGACTCTGTGATTCTATGAGCCCACACTCTTCCCATCACCTACACACCTCAAGGAAAAAACCCAATTAATAGTCAGGGGGATATGCAGCCTCACAAGCAGAACAAGCTGGAACTTCCTACACCTCCTCCAACACATCATCTTGGACAGAGTTGGCCAGATCTGTCCTTAGAGGACACCAAGAATGTTCTTTTGACTTTATATCATCGTACTGCCTCCCAAAAATCACAGCTCTTCAAAAAACAGAAGCAGAGGGAGATGACAATATATCCCAGGATGGAAGCAAAAGTGCAACATACCTTCCCTTATTTATAATGCTACAGGATGTAAACCCTAATTAATCTTTCAAATACAAACCTGAAATAATATTATAGGGAAGGAAAAAAATGTTCTGCCTTAGTTTCCACGATGTCAGGACATTTTTTCTGACAGCCAATGAGACATTTCTCAACATCAAGTGCTAAGACTGAAGGACTATAAATAAGAGCTTGGAGTTGTTATTACTGAAACAATTTTCACTGCTAGGTACAAAAATGAAATGCAGAGTGAAGGATGCCAAAAGCACATTGCAGCAGTCTGTGGAGCCCTGACTGCTTACACAGTTTGCTTAAATCATCCAGAAATGGAAAGGCAGGGAACAAAGATAGGCTTAGAGAGCTTTTCACCCCATTCTCCTCATTAAGAGCACAGAAATGTGCTGCACCTGTGCAGGGTTGATGGTATACACAAATATTCTACAGAGATCCTAATTCTACTACCCAAGCACAGAGAACAAGACCTTCCATCACCATATAAATGGTGCTTTACTGTGGACCTCAAAAACTGTTCCTTAGTTGTGGGCAAGTTTCATTCCACGACGGACTGCTGAAGAAATGAGTTGTCACAAAGACATAACAAAGCTGCAAAGCAAAGAGAGCTCCAGATTTGCACAGTTTATACATCCTAAAGGAACTGGTAGGAAATCAGGAGCCAGAGATTGTTCACTGGCAAAATAAGCCTAACAGAGCCCAAAATCTGCAGCTTCCAAGCCTGGAAATAGCAATTCAGTTTTCAAAGGGACATGTCACTGTTAACTAGTGCTGTCCCAGACCCTATTTAATCACTCTTTAATGATTCCCACCTAGCAAGACTTTTAGACCTGAGATCTACCTCCAAACAGTCGCCCAGCAGGGAAAGGGCACAGTCTCCTTCCCCAGCTCAGTGACTCTCATCTGGTTCATTGTTCCATCTGTCAGCAGGGAAAGGGCACAGTCTCCTTCCCAAGCTCAGTGACTCTCTTCTGGTTCACTGTTCCATCTGTTTGTTCCATCAGGTATCCACATCATCCCTGTCTCTTATTGCTCAGGTGTTTCTTTCTTTTGAACAGCAACTCTTCTTCATCACTGTTTCCCCCCAATTAGCAGCAACTCTCCAACACAGGAATATATACTCATGTTAATTTTACTTTGATCCTGTGATTTGTAATGAGAAGAAAAAGACATCTGCCTACCAACAAAGAACCTTGACTACCAGTATGGAAACCTTCCCTAGCCATAACAGCAATTCAGACTGAAAACCAATACTCTGAGAAAAGAGGATTTAAACATCTCATCTTCAAACAACTGTGGCATTTCTCCTAGAGACTCAAAAGAGAAATATAATCTTTGAGTCCCAAAGTTAGGGACTTCAAAAGCTTCTGTCGTGGAAAGGATTAATAAAACAACACCTGATGTGCTGATATGCTGTTATTACATCTCTTCAAACATTTCAGAGCCAGAAACAAGATCAGCCTCAATCCCCCTGACAGGCAGATGTGTTTCTCACAGTCAAGGCATCCAAAGCATGAAAGTGAAGAAAGGACCATGTTCTCAGCATCACTACAAACTGTGAGACTCTGATGAAAAAAACCCCAAAGCAAACCCTGCAAAATCCACCCCCCTGCTTTTTCATCCTACATGCTGTTTGCAGGTGATGAAAGATAACATGCAAAGAGCATCAGGGCAACACACTGCAGCCTAAGGGACCAGATGGATCTCACCTGGAATCCTGCACACAGTTCTGATGCCCTCAACATAAGAAGGACATAGAACTGTTGGAGCAAGTGCAGAGGAGGCCACAGAGCTGCTCAGAGCACTGGAGCATCTCCCTGTGAGCACAGGCTGAGGGAGTTGGGGCTGTTGAGCCTGGAGAAGAGAAGGTTGTGTGGAGAGCTCAGAGCACCTTGCAGGAGCTGAAGGGGCTCCAGGGAAGCTGCAGAGGGATCTGTGTTAGGAGCTGCAGGGACAGCACAAGGGGCAATGGGCACAAATTGAAGGAGGGAAATTGAGGTGAGATGTTAGGCAGAAGTTTTGCCTGTTCTGGTGGTGAGACCCTGTCCCAGGGTGCCCAGGGAGGCTGTGGCTGCCCCAACCCTGGCAGTGTTCACAGCCAGGTTGGATGAGCCTTGAGCAACCTGCTCTGGTGGGAGGTGTCCCTGCCCAGGGCAGGGCTTGGGGCTGGGGGAGCTCTAAGCTCCATTCCAACCCCTAATACGATATGAGACACTATCTCAGCGCTCTCTAACAACATGCCACCTCTCGCTGCGTCGCTGCCAGAGTTCCCTTTAAGACACATGGGAGACACCTGATGATTTTAACCGCGGGGTACGGTGCCTCTTCGGCAAGTGCGGCAGGAGGAGTACTAGGAGACAGGACAAGACCTACGGCAGAATCCTGGTAGGGGCGAGGAGGGCAAGGAATTGCGACAAGAACACAGAGACACATAGAGAGGAGCAGCGAGCGGGGATGCACATGGCAGAGCGGCGCGGGCAGCACACAAAGCTGCGGGGAAGGGACAGCGGCGGTGCCTCCGGGACGGGGTAGT